GATAACCCGACAGTGGTTTTTCTGCAACATACTACAGGAATAGTTGAAACCATGGCGCTACGCCAATCCGGCTCATACAGGCTTCTATTCAGCATGATCAAAAACGTTAGCTTCTTTGCCGTTGCGCCGCCATCTAAAATGCACGGACTGTATTGGCAGCAACAGGCCTAGCTATAGAGCAGCTAGGTCAGTCGTATGCGGCTTGCACAGCCACGTATTGCGCCGCGCACACTGGCGACAGCTCCTCTCTCTAGTCTCTCTATCCTCTCCGTCTCCGGCGTCGCCGGCCCATCCACTCATCCTCTCCTCTCAAGGAGTCGTCCGACAACACTCTCTCTCTCTCTCGACGTCGCAATGCGCGAAAAAGGTGGAAGGGAGCATCGCTAAAATACCCCCACTGATGACGGTTAAAAAACTAACAGGCGTTTTTATTAAACCTGCCACTCCTGAATAATCTATCATTCCCCAGGATCGATTCCATCGTTGTTTCTTTCATCATAGCTAAACTATATTAAGTTCTACTAATCAACAGATATCGTTGTTTTCTGCGATCTCCCTGCGCCTATGCACTCGCTGCGTCTCATCAGAGCTGCTTCTAAAGATCGCCGAACTCTTCGAAATGTTTATTGATCTTTACAGGCTATCATTTCTCTTCACTACATCTTGTCTCGCTCTTCAAAAGAATCGCATTTATGCGTAGCTATAAAAATATTAATATACAATGAACAATTAATAGATTAATAAGAAGAATGAGAATTGTTGATGTTAATGCAAATGGGTAAATATATATTATAAATAAATATTGATTACACCACTAGAGCTCAGTTATATAAATTCACTTCACTGAGCATAATTTATTCCTGTAATCATCAAATTGAGTCATAGGATTGTAAGCAGTATAACATTAAGTAAATGTAAATGCTGACATTCTAACACAAAATAGGCAACCAATAGACAGGTTGATTTCATTCCATAAGTTACCAGGGAACGGAAATAGAAAAGTTAGAGCCTACGCGAACCTGATCGAAATTTTATTATTATTTATTCATCTATTCATTAATTCATCTATCACTTTATTCCATGAGAGAATATTTGTAACAGCAAGATTGTATGATGTCTTGAAATCATTTTAGCATTCGCAGAACTACTTTTTGTACACTTTTCGCGATGTTAAATTCATTTCCTTGTTAATCAAAGCAAGAGAACATTTTAGTACGATAAATAACAGCCGATAAAATAGCATGTAATCGCTACTCGAAAATATTGGCTAACTGGCATTGCAAAGCTAGTGGCCTGTTCAGCTCAATCTGATAGAATGAGTTTAAGAATCCACGTCAAAATATTCAATCAGGAATATTCCTCACGGCGTGTATCACGCTCGGAATTCACACGTCGTAATCCATATCTCACTCTCTCAAGAGAGCACTGTACGTACAATCACATCACACATATCACTAAACACGAACGGTATCTACTTATCATACTTCTCGTGCTAAAAGCGTAGAAACAGATGAGGATGAAGAGACGAGGAAGAGAGAGCAGAGAGAGATGAGAAAAGAGCAGTAGAGAGAGAGAGAAGAGATGAGAGAGAGAGCGAAGCGAGACGACAGAGAGCTACTTTCTGTTGGCTGGGCGTAGTTGAGGTGCGATAGCGTGAAACACAAATCAATTCCGCCTAAAAGCCGATGCCGTGTCAAACGGAATTAAACTCGAATGCAAGAGCGGTCCGAAGTCTCCTCATCGTATACTCGCGGGACACCAACCAGCTCTCAGTCCGTCACTCAGGTAAATTTTCCGGCTATTGCGGGTACTTATACACAAAACTTTAACTATATTTACGTATCATACGGTGAGAACTATTATACTATAGGGTACATGACCGGCGCGCTCTAACACATCATTGAAGACACCATGTTCGTCATTGCACTGCGTGCGAGCCATGTTTAGTCATCTGGTCTCCAACTGACGTGGTCACGAGCGTCGCGTCTGGCTCTCAGGCAATGCTAACACGCCCATGAGACAAATCGATACTATCACCGTTCGACTGTGCCCCGCTATCGTACTAAGCATACTGCAACGTGACAGTGATTTAGCCACAGCGGCGGCGTGCCACGCACCAGCACCGAACAGACGAGTGTGGTAAAGGACTATGCCCGACGTTTTTAAGTAACCTCTAAGCTCGGAAGATATGGACGCAGTTAACAAGCCCCTGAGAACGCTAAATTAAAATTCCAGAGAGATACTAACAACTTGAAATTAGTAATAAGTTAGAGTAACTAAATCGCATAAGACAAAATGACATCAGACCAGAATTTCAACTTGCCAGTTAAGCAGCTTCCTGCGAATAAACCCAAGTGGACCATATCATGTGAACATATGAGCTATTTTCGCGTTAAAAATCTATTGGAAGCATTTCGAAAATAGGGTAGTTTAGGCCGCTATGTTTATGAATATAGTAAGAAACAAAGTACATTCCTATGAGTGACCTTCTTGGTTGAAGTTGTGGCGGCGTACAATAGCCCTCGCGATACGCCGTTTATTACAGCACGGGAGGTTTTCCAGGATGTCTTTTACACTGATATTCATATGGCAATGGTACATAGATCTTTAGCTGTGTCAGTGGCATGCGTAGTGCGCGTGTGCGGTGATTTAGTGTGTGTGTGTGTGTGTGTGCAGATGCGTGCGTAGCGGTGCGCCCTGCCGTGTGTGTTGGCGTGTTTGTGTGTGTGATGTTGTTGTTGTGTAATAAGTGTGTGATGTGTGTGTGTGTGTGTGTGTGATGTAGTGTGTTGTTGTGTGTGTTGTAGTGTGTGTGTGCTGTGAGTGTTGCGTGTGTCGTGTACATGATGAGTGTGCTGTGTGTGCGCGTGTGCGTTGCGTTGTGTGTCGCAGTGTGCGTGGGCGTAGTGTGGGTGTCTTTTCTTTGGAGTTTTCGGCAACGAGAACGTGAAAACATATATACTAACAGTACATATGCAACAACTATCAATATTCACAAGTGAAGCAGAAACTAAAGAGCAATAACATGGTTTTCGGGACCATTTATTTTAGCAAAATAACAAGTAAATGAAAGGTCGCACGTTGTAACTTTAACCAAGGACTAAAGGAGTGAGTAGTAACGGTAGTTGTCTACATGCTCAACTAAGCGCAAAGAAACCAACTTATCACATACCTTTGATAATTCAAACGACCAAATGTAAGGTAGGGCTGATTTCTATACACGTCAAGAAATAGAAATCTACAAAAGATTGAAGTTTTTTCAAAATGGACTAGGACGCATTATTTAGAACGCGTAAGTAATTTTTCTTTCTCAAACTCAACCAGGGCTACAACAGGATGAATGGGAGGTTGTTCTGAAGCGTCCATAGGCGTGCCAATGAGATATCTCGAATCTGTGGGGATGTCAGAATAGTGGTGCTAAACGCAAGAATAGTCCGTCACTGAAACCGAAGCGATGACGCAATTTAGTTCACGTTAGAGACTACGGCTCTGGAATAACTACAAGTTCGGCCAGCTCAAACAACTGGGAAACATAATAAAAGGTCACCCTGATAGAATATAATATTACAACTTACTAGTGACATATAGAAATTAGAGGGGCAAATGAACACCGTGCGGACGAATTACTTAACGCTCATTAGCGAAGCTAATAAATACGAAGCTATGCTAATACTACTACTGTAAGCTGCTAAGCTGCTACTAACTAACTGTACTGCTATACGTCTGCTATGCTACTGCTACTATACTGTCTCTCTCGCTACATGATAGCGCTACTTCTACTGTGCTGACTTCTTCCGCTGCCTGTGCGCTAGACATACCCGTTGTTCTACGTTTAAATAGCAAATATGCAAATCGACTATTTAAATTCGCAGGTTAAACGTTGTCAACTTCTAAAGGACAAGATGAGGAAGTTTGTAAGTTCGTTGACTTTAACGGTGTTGACAGCAACCAAAGTAAATCCTGGTTTTCTCAAAGAGCGATGGAATATTGCGTTCCTCATTCTTTAGTACCGCTCCCTCTTTCTCGGACAGATTATCAAGCATTCGCCAAGTGGTACGTTATTTGCAGATTCCGTTTCTACTGCTGCTTCATATTCCGAACCTATAACATTCACATTATAGGAACGCGAACATCGGCACTAGTGTTGTTTATTGGTCGTATTAGCTCGCATGAATTGATTCGCCGCAAATTACAAAACTATCCAGGTTGCAAATCACAGCATCAATGGTGTACTTTCTAGAGTGAGTATTGCCAGAACGCAAGCCCACAATGTCAGTTATAAAATAGAAGATGAATCACTGAGAAAGGACATTCTTTTGATGAATTCGGAAAAAATAGCAATGGAGAGCAAGCAACGCGCTTGCGTCGCCATAAAACCTGAGATCGCGAATGGGTTAACGATGTGACCAGGAGCGTGCGAATATCATATTTTAGTTAGAATATAAAAAAAAGCATATAAGCGTGTACTTAGACGCAAAATGCATTCTATTAAATAAGAGAAAATCAACCGAATAGAGTGTCATCTACTGTTAATTGCGTGATTATACTGTCGGAGCTGAGGCTGTCTTACTGCTGCATATGAACACTTCGTGAGCCTGTATATTTTCTTCGACGTTTAATTCTGTTAATTCCAATTCTTTCAGCTCGAGGACCTCGGATTCCAGAGAGAGGTTTTCTGGGCAGAAAAACTGACGGAGGCTGTGACGTTGACTAGTCTGCCTGGTGGGTCATTGCTGATCCAAGTAAAAACCATGAGGGAGATTCTGAACTCCCATCGTGTGTGGGAGCGAGTGTTCAGCCGCTGGTCCGCGCCTTTCTGCCATGTCCCGCAACTGAGAAGCAAAGTGTCAAAAACAATATATGGTGAGGTGGTGATCCTCTCTCTCTTGTTCTCGCGTCCTCTCTCTCTCTCATCTCCTCTCTCTCGTCTCGTCTGTATCTCTCTCACACACGCACACACACACATGCGTTCGGGCATGCGTGAATGTGCGTGCGTGCGCGCGGAGGTGCAAGTGTGCGTGCGTGCGTGCGTGCGTGCGTTGATGGCGTGACTACGTATACGTGTCATTTCACCAAGTGGCGAGATAGATAAGAGATATTTCACAAAAAGAAATGCGAAATTTATAGGCCTACGTGTATAGAAACACGTTTCCGCGGCGTGGCATGCTTGCAGATAATAATTATTCTTTTCATCTTGCTCGGAAAAAAATGGAAAAGCAAAGCGACATTTGAACATTGTTTGTTTTAGAACTCTTGCGTTTCTGCTTAAGAACTCCCGTTATCACATCATGCGACTCGTATGTATACAAACGCGCCCATTTTGTGGTATTTTGCTGCGACGGGCTGAAACCTTACCATAGAGCAAAGCCAATCAGTAATCTGAAGTTGATAACGTACTCAGTACACAGAGTTATGATAACAGCATAACCTTACCTATATATAGTTGTTACATTTCGATATTTCTCAGTAGAGTGCACGTCACATTGTTACCAACTTGTCTATATATATAAAGTTGTTCAGCCGAATTAGTTCGTACTCGCATAACTAGAGAACTCCGCATATAACGAGGCGAGTGACCAAAAGTGTCCGAGGCCTGTCCCTGCGACCGGCGTGCGTCCACATTCTAATCACATAATTATCGCTTCACTACACTTACAACCTTGACTATATATAAAGTTGACGGTTATAGATATATAAGTGACGGCTGCCATCTTGAGGGAACCATGTCATTGACGGTGAGGATGTTTGTCATCTGGTCTCTGCTGTCAGCGCTCGCTCTCAGCAATGCTGCACCCATGGATCACGAACAACCGTCGACGGGCCCCCCATGTAATTGCAACGAGACAGTGATGCCACAGTCGGCGTGCACGACACAGCCGCAGACCAGTGTAGGTAAGACTTGCTTCTTAAGATACTCTACTGGTAGATATGCGCAAATTAACGCTCTGAACGTAATTAAATTCCGTACTTAACATTTTGAAATTGTAACTAAATCGCATAGACAAAAATGACATCGGCCGAATTTCACATGCAGTAGCAGCTTTCCTGTGAATAACCCAAGTGGTAGCACATTGCTTTTTCCGTTTAAAGCATCGAAAATGGTATATGTTGTTTAATTAAAAATTAATACATACCTATGGCGACTTCTTGGTTTGAGGTTCGGCGTAGTCTTCGTACCCGGATGTTTTTACCCGGATATCATATTCATGACATAGATCTTTAGTGTGTCAGTGCATGCGTGTGCGCGTGTGCGTGTTTGTGTGTGTGTGTGTGTGTGTGTGTGTGTGTGTGTGTGTGTGTGT